ATTTCTAGAAATCTCGAGGCTAATTGCCTTTGAATCTGTAAGTACAGATAATGAGAAGAATCATATGTATATGGAATTGAAGAGAATATATGCAGAGCAAGTCAAGCACATCATGATATCCAACATCAAAATTAATTTGGAGTTGGATATCAACTTTAAATAAGTTAAAATTCCATAAATTTTTTCATCAACTTATTCTTTGGGATACACATCTGCTACAAGGCTAATCAACTGTAGGACATTGCTGGTCCTCTATGCCACTGCTAATGAAATAACACATACATGGCTGAGCAGAGGTGCATTATCAGCATTGGAGGCCAGACACTGCTCTATGCTTTGCTATCAAGGTTCAGAGCAAAAAGACTTGTGGAAAACGCCCATCAGGTCTTTAAGACTACAATAAGAATACATATAAAGAAAGCATGAAAGACTAAAGTAGTGCCCCAGGAGGCTGTACTGAGGCAGCCATGGAACAGCCACCACAGAATCGGCTCTATTCAATTTTCGGGAGCACAGTTTCAAGCAAGGACCAGTTCCCATTGCAAGATGGTCCCATTCAACACCATGGCCCTGTTGCACATGGGATTATGTGGCTTCTCTAGCAGTTGGCACATGTTGCAGTTCATCAGTAGTTACTATTTTATCTTATTCTATTTGCACTCTTCAGATAAAGAAATCCCAGCATGCAAATAGCTGCCCGTCTGTCTAGAGCGTGTAAGAGTTAATGAACTGATTTCAGAGCACATACTGCAGAAGGCTGTGGCACACTCCACTTTGCATTGGAAAAGAAGTGAGTTAAAAAGCAAGCAGCACTAGTTAGAGATGTAGTCCTTGCGCACATCTTTTCTAGCAGAAGCTCAGCACAAGCATTTAACAGCAATCTGGTCTAAAGCCACGTGCATATTAATTAAAGCTAATTTGGCTAATGGCTCCTCAGTAGGAATTGGGTGCAGAATACACTGCTCCCTCACTTCCACCAGCTGCAGCCACATGTGATACATCTAGATTTGCTCTCAGAAGGAAAACACACCACTTTTGACAGAGTTTAACAGGCAAAAGGAAAATCAGATGCCCAAAATGGGTGTTCATGTCCCAAATCTCTTTAGCACAGTGCCTGACTTGGAGCACCTTCTGCCTACTCTGCTCAGCGAGGAGCAGGACTGCTGTCTCTGACTGGTTCCTTGCACTGATCAGGCTCTGCAAACAATGCAATTATTTCAGAGAAGAAAGTAGTGAGCCCAGCTTTTGCTGCTTCCACTTATTACTGAGGAACATCAAGCTGCACAGCCATTTTCCTGCAGCCATCTTTAAAAAAGGCAATGATCTCCATGTGCTGCTAACCTAATGAGGGCTGTGTGTGACAGAGTCATAGGTATATTTTCTCAGTAGCCTAATGAGGAAAGTGACAGACAGTGAAACAGTTCACACTTGAGTAATTTTCTAGTCATCAGCAACTGCAGTGCTCGTGGTAGCAGAAGCCAGAGAAGGGACACAGATATACAATAAATACGCACTGGCTCCATTGGCCAGAATAAGTTATCACTAGGATAGAGGTCTTGGGGCAAAATCCCTTAGGAAATTTAAACAAAAAGAGTCAATTTAAGGCATCTCTAGCAGTGCATTCAATTAAAATTAAATTTAAAAAGTAGGATCAGCTGCTGGGCTGTTAGGCCACCTGCCCAAAGGAGGAAAAAAATTAGAGATGTAACGAACCTTTACTCCTGATGTCTGCAAGCTGCTCACAAATGGCTGCATTGACCCGCTTTGCACAAGCACCCATTCAGCATAAAGCTAGTTCTCCTTCTTTACCTCCTACCCAAGAAAAGAGAAAACTAGCTGCAGATAGCTCATTATCCACATTTACAGCAACTTTGCATGAAAAATGCTGCCACCTTCTTCCAGAGAAATCACTGTTTCTTGAGGGAACATGGCTATAATCTCAGCCTTGGTCCTTCCACTGGTGTAGACCCAAGAGTTGATGCCACAGCTGTGGAAAGCAACTCAATTCTCCAGTGTTCCTGCATCCCATCTCCTCTCAACTCCACCACAGAAGTGGGAAGGAGACACAGACAGGGAAGGCTTTCTACAATGAGAGTGGTGAAGCACTGGCATAGGTTGCCTAGAGAGGTGATGGATGCCCCATTCATACAGACATTCAAGGTCAGGCTGGAAGGGGCTCTGAGTACCTTGACTGAGATGTGGATGTCCCTGTTCACTGCAGTGGGGTTGGACCAGATGCCTTTAGGGATCTGTATGGGAACTGCTGAGTCACGGCCTGAACCTCTGATTGATCACCTGAGGTGAGCCATGAGTCAGCCAGAGGAGCACAGGTGAAGGCAATTCACCTGTGCTACCAGAAGGGGTGGAGCCAGGCTCCACCCCTCCTGGACCTATTTAAGAGCT